TTTTGTTTTTAAACCATGGCTGTTTTTCTTTGGGCGTGCAAAATTCTACTATGTCCGGGTCCCAGTTTGGAAGTTTGTTGGTAAATTCTGTTTTGGCTTCAGTCCCCAACATTTTGCTAATCCTTCTCAGTGCTTCACAAGGTGTGAGTTTTGGGGGTAAAGATTTACCATGGTCAACCGCTGTTTTTGCTGCTATATCTGCTTTTTCATTTATGGTTATACCCACATGGCTAGGTGTCCAGATTATTGCAATGTTTTCTATTTGGGAATGATAAAGTTTGTTATGGATTTCAGCTACTAAGAAATTTTGTGTGGTGCGGCTTTTTAGGGCCTTAATTGCACTCTGGCTGTCTGTAAAGATTGCTACTTTTTTACTTTCATTATTAATGGCTATCGTGATTTCTTGAGAAAGTGCTACTAGCTCACCGTAAGTTGATGTGAAGTTTCCATCTATATTGTACAGGTATGAGACGTTAGCCGTTACCACATAGACTGCACAGCCAATTTTGTTATCTGACACCGATGCATCAGTGGCATACACTTTGAAACCTTCCTCTTTTAGCGTGTTAATTTTTTTGTTGTAGATAGCTCTGAGTTGTGTAGGAGTAACGTTCTTTTTGGACTGGGCCAATTCAGATTCGTAACAGTTAAGGTTATGGTGTCTTTTGAAAGCTACATTTGTATCTATGGTGTTGATAATTGCTTTAAATTTTTCGTACGTTATGCTGTAGCTGGAATTTATGGGAGGTCTGTTCTGGATCTGTGTTCTAAGTTCAGGATTGATCAACCACTGTTTGACAAGTTCCTTGGCCGTAAGCCATACAGCTCTGGGAAGAGGTGGAAGTTCACAAGCCAGCGCGTATCTCATGAGTGTTGGAGTGTTTGGAGGAACTCCGAGGCTTCTCCTCAAGGTTTCATTTACACTGGTTTGTAGCTGTTTGTTATACCCTTTAGGGGCATTGGCGTAACTGGTGTTGGCATATTCTGCTTTGGATCGTACAAACGCTTTAAAAAGATTTATAGAAGTTTTAGGTGAAATGCCTGACTTGATAGATGTTAATTTAGAAATGAGGTTTTTACCTGAAGTTGTTGCTCTTTTAATTTCTCTAATGTGTACCTTAATGGTTGAGTTCGCGCTGATTGTTCTTCCCAGCCATTTGAAGTGATGGACTTTTTCAATGTTTAGGCCGTTGATGGATACACTAAAGGTTTGTTTATTATTTGCAGACATATACATGAATTTGGTTTTGTTCAGATTAAATATGAGATTTAAGCTGTCGCATTTTGCTTGTAATTCTTCTATTTTGTTTTGTAAATTTTGAGCTGCAGAGAATTTGTTTGTGCCAGTGGATATTAACGCAAGATCGTCGGCAAACTGAAATAGTTGAGTCTGAGAGTTATTAATTTCGTGCAGTTGGGCTGTATAAATATGGAATAGCGTTGGGGATAGGCAGCTACCTTGAGGTAGGCCAGAGTTTATCTCAACAGTCTGATTACCTAGGGTCAGATGTCTTTTAGAAAAGTAGTTATTAATCCAGTTTGCAATTGTTGGGTCGATGTTGCATTGTAGAAGAATATTGTGGAGTGAACCAAGATCTACTCTATTATAGGCATCCGACATATCTAAGAAACAGATCATAACATATTCCCTACATTTCTTTCTTTCTGCTATAAGATGTAGCATTTCATTAATGCACATTGTTGCTGATCTCATTTTTCGATAGGCGTAGCTCTTCTTGGGAAGTCGGTTGCTTGTCTCCAGGAACTCGTTAAGCGATTCTTTCACCATCATATTAATGCTCTTTACTACAACAGATATGAGTGAAATGGGTCTAAAGTTATTTATGTCCTCATGGTTTTTGTTTGCTTTCGGTATTGGAATTACCTTTATTTGTCTCCATGCGTCTAGGACCCTGTTACTGTAGAAATGTTCTTTTAGGGCGTCTACTAACGACTGTTTGGACTCAGTGGACAATTGCTTTAATGTATTAAACGTGATTCTGTCGAAACCCCCAGCAGTAGATTTTTTCCTAGCTAATAGATTTTCGAATCTGCTGTATGAAAAGTCAACGCTGTTGTTGGCGTTTACTGATGCAGCGGTGGTTGGAGTGATGACGTTACAAGGGTTGCTGGCTTGTTGAGCTTGATTTCTTATCAGTTCTAAGTAGTTTCGGTCATCTTCAGCTGCCCAATTGTGAGACGCACGTTTATTGCCTTTGACATTTCTTATGAATTTCCAAGCCTGTGTCGAGTTGGGGCAAGTGTTTATCTCCTCAATTTTACTGTTGTAGCTCGCTTTCTTTGCCGCCTTCACCGTTTCTTTCCAGTCGCTAGTTGATGTAATTGAGGCTTCCATGTCTTTAACATTGTTAGTATGATAAGCTTTTTTGCGTTTAGCGACATGTAATCTGTACAGTTTTTTGAGGTCATCACTCCACCAGTTTTTAGGGGTACGCCTGGATGTGTTTAAGTCAATTTTAATCCTGTTCCTAACGCCGTCTATTTCTGTCGTGATATTTTCTAAGTCAGAGAATTTTAACTGAGCAAGTTCCTGGGCGAGTCGTTCTTTGGGGATGAAATAGTTGGGCTTTTTGCTGCTATTAGTGACCTCAACGATGATGGGGAAATGCTTACTGCCTCCCAACTGGACTTGTTGACAGTGCCATTTTGTGTAACTGCTGTTAATATTGGTCAGAGTTATGTCAATTACCGTTCCTGCACTGTTACCGGTGCGGTGAGTGATTGCTCCACTGTTGATGCACTGGAGATTGGTGTTACTGATTTCGTCAATAACTATTTTTCCTTTGGTGTTGCATATTCTGTCTCCCCACACTTGATGCCTAGCGTTGAGGTCCCCTGCTATTATAACGTTTTCATGATTGTTAAGCAAAAGTACTACGCGGTTCAGTTCGTTAGTAAAATTTAAAATGTCAAGGTTGGGAGGAGTTGCAAATAGTTAGATTATTAATAAGATTAATCGTCTTGGCTATTAGAATGTCGTAATTTGTAACAAATTTGATTTTCGTAAATTTTATACCTTTTATAAATCCGATTCCTACGCCACCATATCCATCGATTCTGGTCTTTCTGAGTAAGTTGAAGTTCATTAAATTGTGTTGAGTTGTATGGTTGTCATGCGAAAAAATTTCCTGGAGGCAGACTATATCAATGTTATTACTAGTGTTAAAGAAATCTACATAGTTTTTATTACTTTTAAGGCTTTGTACGTTATATTGTAATATTTTTATTGGACTTGTCATCTTTGTTACTTGGATTTTTGTCTTCAATGTGTACTGCGCCTATATTGCGAATTAGGTTAACCAAGGGGTCGTTTACGTCGATGTCGTACCTTTTTATAAGGAGATTTACCAGCTTTTCAATCTCTGTGACCTTAGACCAATTCTGCATTTCGTAGACGGGTTGTGTTTTGGTTGTAGCTTTCGGCAATATTTTGGGAGGGTTAGGTGTAGCTGTTGTGTGGGTTTGGTGATTTCTAACTACGTAATTGTATTTATATGATGTAAGTTTTCTATTTACTGTTTCATCATTGTTGATCCTTGCTGTGCTTTTTGCTTCTAACTGTGGGAAATTTCCCTCATAGTTTTCTAGAGCTGAGAAACGGTTATTATTGTTTAAATTGTACATCCCAATCGCCTCAGACTTCGATACCTTTTTGATTGTCATAATTTCTACCACCTGTTTTTCTCTGGCCCATTTTGAACATTTCCTGCTCTCGAGTGAATTGTGATTATCCCCTCCGCATAGTATGCACGAATTTGTGGTTTCATTGCATTTACTACTACAGCCCTCTGCCTTGCCACAGATAATGCATCTGTTGGCTGCTCTGCAGGCCATTTTTGTGTGCCCTAGTCTGCCGCAGTTGTAACAATGCCTAACTCTAGGAATGTAGTGAACCATTTTGATTTTTACGCAAAAAATGTCTATGGTTTCTGGTAGTTCGTTGCCTTCAAAACTTATTTTCACAGCGAGAGTTGGAATGAACTTCTCTTTGTCATTGGGATCTCTTCTGGTAATTCTTGAGATAGCTGTAACAGGAATATCTGAAATGATATTTTCTTTTATTTCTTCCTCAGTGAAGTTAAGAGGTATTTGTCTAGCTACACCAGTTGTTTCTACCAAGCTTCTTGGTATAAAGGGTCTCATTTGGTTTTTAATTAAGTCGGGATTGCTAACGCACTTGTTTGCAGCTTCATAATTTTCAAAAAAAATTTTGTAGAGTGATCTACCTATGGCTTTTATGTTTTTAATCCCCTCAATATTAAAATGTCTTATAATATCCCAAAGGAATATGCCATTACGCATTTTTTCGTTATTTATCGTGTTAGATTTTGAGGTGTCCACCAGAACGCAATAATCTCCCCTGTGCCTTTTTGTATAGCACACACTGTCCGCGTGTTCTTTTTCTTTTTCCCTGTTGGTCACACTTTTGCTTTCTGTCGTACGTGTTTGTTCGCAGTCCGAGTTTTTGTAAGTTTCTTTCTCCTTGTTTTCACTGTTCATGTCCGCAGTGCCCGTTAAGTTTTTTGTCGTCGTTTTAGCATATGTTCATCTCTTCACTAACATTCCTTGTAACGGGATACGAGTGCCGTTAGCTTGGTCTGTCTTAGATTTTTTGGTAGTACTTGCTATGTCCGTCCGTTTGGTACAGTCGTCGTCTGTTTCTGACTCAGCTATTGGAAGACCCCCCTTTGTAGTTTTATTTATCTGTCTTTTCCTTGCAGCTTGTTTTCTGTTTCTTCCTACCTCAAACCAGTCTGACGCTGGATTGGTGTCCAGCTCCTGGTTTGGCTCCCCCTTCTCTGACGCCGAGGCGTCGCTGTCCATTTTGGCTGCCGCCAATAACAAAGAACTGTAGCACTCACCTTGGTAAGAACGTCTGGATCAAGCACTAGCACAAGTTTCTTATTTTTTTTCCCCTTTTCAAATTTTTGGGTTTTTCTAGGAGTTTAATACCTAGTTTTTACAATGGTACATCCAACTTTTACACTTAACAATTGACACACACTTCACACTCACAATAGGCACAAGAAATACTTAGACAGATACAACCTCCACCTGCTGTAGTACAAATGCGAATGATGATTTAACTTTGTTTGAATATACTGTTACGATTATCCTCGAAACCTTGAGGGATTACCCAAATATACTCG